TTTATTTGGTGCTGTAATAATAGCTTCTTCTATTACATCCTATATATTGTTTATCTTCTTCATTTTCTTTTTCTCATCTTGTTCTTTCTTGCAAATATCTTTTAAAATCTTTTTTACTTCTAATTGGTTCTGTAGTTCTTGTGTATAATTTTTCCAATCTTCTAATTTCATTTGATCATATAAGTATACTGTTTTTGACTGCCTCTTTTTTTTAATCTCTGCCTTGCTTTTAGCTGCTATCATATGTTTGATCCATATTTCTGCTATTACTATCTTGTGGTCACTCTCTATAATTTCTTTTATCTCTTCAATTTCTGCCTTCAGTAAACCTAAGACTAAACCATCTGATATCTATATATAGTCAATTCTTGTTGCTGCTTCTCTATTTGACCATGTGTATTGTTAATCTATTGGATTTATATCTCTGCATGTGTTTTTAAAGTTTTGTTTCTTTATCTAATTGAAAATTGGCAGTCTTTTGTAGTTTGCTGTTTGTGGATGTTGTTTGTCTCGGATATTGTCTACTGTGTGATTAAAATCACCCATTACAATAATTTGTGTTTGTCTTTCTTTTTTAAAATTGTTTCTATAATTTTTTGTTAGACATTTTTTTCTATTACCTTATTATTTAGTGATATGTATGCTGTAATTACAACTAATTCTAATTATTTGAAGTATAATGTAATTTCTATCATATATTTACTTATTTTTTTAACTGCCCTTATATGCTTTTCCTATTGTTCATCAATTATAATTCCAATGTCTAAACCTTTTTTTTTATTTTCAGTTGTGTTTATCCAAAACCCTATATATTTTTTGCCTGTTGCATATGTTAGAAACTTTCTTTCTTTTTCTGTAAGATTTGTTTCTGTAATTCCTAATATTGTAATTTTCTTTTTCTCTGCCTAGCTAAGCAGATTTTCCAATTTCCAACCTTTAGTTTTGAGTCTATTAACATTGTAACATGCTAGTTTTATTTCCTTTTTTTTGTCTTTTCATCTTTCTTTTAGTGATCTGTGTTTTGTTTCTGTACTTTTCAGTTTTTTTCTCTTTCTACTGCATATTTTTTCTTCCTAATTAGGAGTTTTTGCTTCTCTTCTTTCTTTAAACACCTCTCTTTTGTTTTGCAAGAACTTTTCGATCTTCTTGTCTATGTTCATTAGTTCAACTGTGACACCCTTAGGAGTAATCAGTTAGATCTCTTCTTGTACCTACCTGCATTTCCTCTATTTTGTTTAGTCTATTCAAAATTTGACACAAAACATCTTCTACTTGTACTGTTCTTGCTTGATCTTGCAAGACTGCTTCAGTTTTTTTTTTCTTTAGATCATTTTCTTTTATTTTTATATTAGCATTTTGTTTCCTAACCATTCTTCTATATTTTGTATTTGGAAATCTAAACTTATTTCACTATATCTTTTACTTGTTTTTTTTTGCATTATGTTTCTGATTCTAGATATCTCTTGTCATTTACTATTTACTTTTGATCTTTTTTGTTTTTTTCCTTTTGATTTATCTCCTTCTTGTTCTTTTTTCTTCTAGAATTTTTCCAACTTACTCAGTAGTTATTGTACCATATTGGTGTTGTTTGAGCTTCTTCTGCTGCTAAAGCATTTGCAAAAGTGATTATTGCAAACTTCTTTTGATTTCCATTTCTGTTATATAGGATGTATACTGCTTTTGCACCTTTGTTCTTTAGACATCATAACAGAAGTACTTCCAAGACTCCTTTTGGAATGTTTAATAATTTAGCTGTATGCTGTCCTTGCTTATCTCTTTGGTCATAATCTTCATCCCCAATTGTTATACATGCTAGTTTGTTATTGCCAAGTGGCAGTACCCATGGAATATATTTTTTTTCTCTAAGCTCGCTACTATTATTGCTAATACCTTGTATGGTAATCTCTTGACTCGTATAATATTCAAGTTTTTGAATTTTCTGTACATATATTTAATCTCTTTTTCATTAATATTTGGTGATAGATTCTATATAGTTAACTATTTTTCCTCTTGCAATTTCTTTTCTTTGTTTTTACTATTTTCTATTATTATACTTTTCTTAATGCCATCTTTTTTTTTCCTTTTTCTTGTTTCTTTACTTTCTTATTCTTCTTGGTTTTTCATCTTTCCCTATTTGTTTTATATTTTCTTCTTCTTTTTTTTTAGTATTGTGTTTCTCTTAATGCTTTGTTTCTTGACTTTTACTTTTATTTTTTTCTGAAATAAGTTTAAGTCATTTATCATCTTTTTTTCTAATTCTGTCTATTGCCACATCTCTGCTATGTTTATAATCAAAGTCTACTTCTATCTAATTATTTTTATTTTTGAATACTTCTTTAATTGTTTTGATGTGATGGTTATTTTCTAGAATCTACTGGACATACTTTACTCTTTCTTATTTGGATTTTCCTGATAAAGCATAAATTAACATATTTGTCTTAAAGAATTTGTTCTTGTTGCATATTCTGTTTTTTGAAGACCATTGATTATGCTCAATCATACATACTGAAAATGCAATGTTGGTTTCTTCATTAGTTGGTTTTTCTTCTTGTTCTTCTAATTCTATATTTGTATCTTTACTGTTTTTCTCTATTCTTTGTACTATATTACTCTTTAACATTTCAGATTTATTGGCCATTTGACTTTTCTGATAATATAATATAGTAACACTAACACCTTCCATTTGTTTTTCTAATATTCCAAGTCTTTGCTTATTGTTTGTTCTTCTTTCTTCTTGATGTGTTATTTCTTTGTTTATATTTGTGTTATATTCGAATAAGTCTGAATTAAAGCTTATAGACTTAAGCTTTACTGCCCACTCATCAATTATTTCTTCTTTAAACCAGCTTGTTTTTGCTATTCTTAATGTTTCTAGTATTTAACTATATATTAACATATCATATGATATAATATGTTTTGGATCTATATTGCTAATTCTTTAGCAATATGCTCTATATTATTTGGGTTCTGTGTAGAAGTTTTAAGAACTTAGTCCAGAATTCTACAGTCTATATGTCTTTGGTTTTTATCTTCTATTTCTCTAATATAGGATATAATATCTTTGTTGCAATTTTTATTTATTGGTTTATATTCTAATAATTGGATCAAGATCTTTCTTTTTAGGCTAATCAGTATTTATAATTAAACTTTGTAATATTTGTTAGTATCTTGTTAGTACTATGTTACTAATTCTATAATAATATTTGTTATTTTCTAATTAAGCATAAGACCTATTTGTTTGTTGTTGTTTGTTGTTATTTGTTATTGCTACAGTTATTACGTGTTTTGTTTTTTATTTTTTAGAGTAATGTCAATTCTCTAAAATTTTTCACTTTATTGCTAAAAGTATTGCTGTTTCTTGTTAATATCTTAGCGCAGCTTTCTTTGTCTTCTAACTTTTACTGTATTATATATATCTTTTTCTGATACAGCTTTTTGTTAGTTATCTAAAGGGTGTTTGCTAGTCTATTTTCTATGGTTTTTGAGTTTGTTTTTTTTTGTTTTTTGAAATCAAGGATTAGCAAGAAGAATTGTTATTTGTTTTTTGTTAATATCAATAAAAAACTTTGATATATTTAAGTTACAAATAAATTTAATTTAAGTTTTATGTTTTAGTAGATATAAAGTAATAAATAATTTAAAATTTTTTTTTAAATTTATAAAAATTTACTATTAAAATTCTTTTATAGTTTTTAGAAATTAGCTAATTAGAGTTAACTTTTTTGTATAATTAAAAAAACCAAAATATTCAAAAAAAATTTAATATATATAAACTTTAATTTTTTTAAATTAAACATCTTATAAAATTTTAATATAATAAATAACTTATTTAAATCTATATATTATTGAATTTTAACAAATATTAATTAAAAAATAAAGAAATTTTATTAGCAATATTTTAGTTTACTTTATAAACTCTATTGTATCCTATAGATTATATAAAAAATAATCTACATACACCTCTTAAAAAGTTAAATAAACTCACTATTAATATTAAAAAAAATAAGTTAAATAAATAATTTTAATATATTTGTTTAAAAATATTCAAAAATATTCAAACTCATATTTACACTGTCTTATAACAATACTGATATGTATTATAATCTTAAGACATTGTAAATATTTTATATAATGCTTGAATTAGTATCAACCTAAAGTCAAAACTTTGAACATACAAACTTATAAAATTATTAGAAAATATGATATATAAATATATATATAATGCTTGAAGTTAGCATCTACCTAATGTTGCAACTAAAACAGTACTTGCTTAAAATTAAGGAACACTTATTTCCACCATGCTGAAATTGCTCCTGAAATTGTAGCTCCAGGCACGAAAGATACACAGATAATAAAGTCAATAAATATTTGATAAGAAAAATTTTTTAATATGTAAAAAATTTTTATAGTTTGTATTTGTAGTAAAAATAAGAAAACAATTCGGCATGTCAATTGAGATAAAATTGTCCCAGTGAAAACTTCCTTCTAATCCTCTTTTTTGTTTTTTTATTAAAACAACACCATTTACGAATAAGATCAAACAGAAAAAACGTACGTTTGGAATTGTCGTTATGATTGCTGTCGTACATATTCCGTTCAAATCACTGCCTGTATAATAAAATATTAATAACTAGTCGTTAAATTATTTCAAATTTGATTCGTAAACAATTGTATCTTCCTTTCAAAACGCCAAAGATCAATAAATAAAATAGATTACTTGACGTTCTGCAAAAAAAGAGTTGGTTTTTGCGAAAGTTTTAAAACCAAGGCCATAGAAATAATAAGCCCGATTTTGATAAGTCATTCGCAATATTTTATTTTAAGATAAATTTAATAATATATGCGCTCGATAGATTAAAATAATATATTAATGCTTAGATCGAAGTAACATCATTATCTAAACTAGAGGTCGTATTTATGATCAAATATTGAACTATTCAAACTTATATCGTCTCTATTTTTAATAAAGAGAAATGAAAATACATACCATTATTTTTAATTTAAGTTTTGAGAAGTAACTCCATTAATTTCCATCCATTTCTGGCATTCTTAATCCTTTTCCATCTACCCAGTTTATGTTCTTGACCAACACCTGCCAGAAGAAAAGTTTTATTCTCTATGGTTGCAAATTGTAGAGCATTCACAAATCCGACCAAAGGAATTTCCGCCAGCGGAACGAAAGAATGGATGTTATCAATCAATTTCCAAAGGCGAATATTTCCATCCCATGATCCAGAAGCGAAAAAGTCAGAATATCTCTCAGTAGCTAATGCAGTTATCCAGTATGGACTTTTAATAGAGCCTTCACTTTCAGAGTCATATGTTTGTAAGCCATGTGCAATATTATATACGAATACTGGTTTTTTTTTATTGATGTTCCATAATGAAATGGCACTGATATAAAAAAAATAATATCAGTAAATAATTAAATAGATAACATATAGAATAACAATAAATATAATACCCGCTATCACCACCACTAAGGAAATTATCCTCATCGATCATGGCAACAACATCCAAACTTCCTTCCTTAAATGTTTGTCCATCTTCTGTCGCACTTTTGGTGATACCACGAAATACTAATTGCGACCCTTCTACGATTTTCCATAACCTACATGTTCGATCTCGAGAACCAACAGTCACACAACGTTCACGAGAAAGAGAGTCAATTGATAAGATTTGATCTTGATGCCCAAATCTGTTAACACGTATGTACAGATCATGAACTTGAAATAAAGTTTTTATTAATGGGTTTTGATATAAAATTAAATATCTAACTTACAATGTTTCTATATAACATAATTCATCGATATTCCACACCTTAACTGTACGATCTTGTGAAGCACTATATAACTGATTATTCCCTTTACGGAATACAAGACCCTTTAAATTGTAGTTTAATGTAATATACATATTATTTAGAGTGGAATATCTCATAAAGAAAATGGTTTAAAGACATACCGAAACTGAATCTTTGTGTTGCGTAAAACATTTTAACAATTTATCATCTTTTGCAGACCATATATTGATCTTTTTGTCAGAACCGCCACTAACCTAATGTTCATGAATATAAGTATTAAATCAAAAGAAACGACTCAGCAGTTGCAACCGAATTTACCATATAATTTCCATCAGAACTAACTGCCAGAGCAAAAACGTGGTTTGTGTGACCATCAAATTTCTTTATTTCTTTCCGACCACCTGGGAACACATGTAACTTTTTGCCAGTTTTCGTACACCCTATTAAGAAATATAAATAAAAATAGGTTAAATTATGGATGAACTTTAAATTATTATGTAAGATTAAAAAATATAAATACATTTTATTATGGAATGATCTTTTGACCCAGTATAAAAAAATTGCCCGGATTCTGCAAAGGCCACGCAAGTAACCGAAAGTTCATGCCGGCCAGATTTCATAGATCCGGGATCTATAGGAAACAAAAACTGTTGCACAACCAAACATACACTTGAAGATAGTCTTGAATTAACAAACAACTTATACGGTAAATCATTAAAAAAGCATCGTACAGTATTGTCTCGAAATAACGCCCGGGGTGTAGGTTAAACCTTTGGCCTGAATTAAGCTTAATTTAGGCCGAATTACGATTAATTCTGGCCAAAGTTTTAACCTACATCCAGATCGTTATTTCGAGACAATACGGTAACATTGATAGCTACCGTATCAGCTATTATACGATGAGCTCGTCCAGTTTGCTCCAACTAATAATAAATTAGTTTAATATTTCAGTATTTCATTGAAAACTCAAGTTCAAATGTAATATCGTATATATGTAACGGTTTATAGGTCAAGATGGCCACTAGCAGAACGTTAGAGTTAGTGCAGGTCAGAATTATGTTGATGCTGTCCGGGGTTTTTAATTGATTAATTTACTCGGGCCAAGTTTAACTTGACTTAAAAACCGTAACATATATCAATATACGCTACCACATCTTGTCGTAACCGTTCAGCAATTAGATCTCGATCAATATCCTCAGCATCAAAGCCAGTTTCATCTACAATCAAGTTAATAATTATCATAATGTATAATTCGCAAGTTTTGCAAACGAAAGTCCAGAGAAACATACGATACCTAAACCTTCCTTAATGGATTCAATATATTGCTTTGCAAGTCTTCTCCTTTTTTCGGTTGATGTCTCTATAATTTCCTCCACATCACTTTCCTGATCATCTGTATCCTCCAAGTTTACATCATCGATACCACCAGGTCCAATATCATCACTAAGTTCTTCATCTTCTATCTCCTCTTCTTTCCTTTTTTTACTTGAAGACTTACTACCTTTTATAGTTCAAATGGAGTACCATTTTATTATTACTAAATATATCTTAGCATTATTAATGTTTTAATTCTGTTACCATTTTTCATGTCAATAGATAAAGTACGTTTCTTAGGCATGGAAGGAAAAAATTTTTAAAAAATCTTGATTCTATTTAGACTATATATAAATCGTCAGGTAACACGAGATTTGTACTACATTTAGACCAATAGCAATGAACCTAAGGAATACGCAGAATTAATAAAAACTTTACTACAACTCGTTCTTTTGTCGAGATATCTTGGTGACTATTTGACCAAATTCGATGAACGAAAATTTGCTATTTCCACCATAGATATCGTAGCTATTTTATTAAATGATAAATAAATGAATAAATATCGTGTCTGATGCTGAAATTTGTGGTTGTGATTTGAAAATACGTATAAGCACTGCTAAAATCCACATATACTTTTTAGTTATCAATTCTAACCCTAAACGCTAGTTCAACCATTAAAAAAAAATCGGGAAAAAAATACCTCAAAATTTTTAAAAATTCGTATTAAAATAGGTTCAAATTTCAGCATCAGCCCGACAATAAATTTCTATAAAATTTTTACTATTACTAATTTTCGCTCTAGGTAATATCACCTGGTTGTATAAAAACAAATCAGATCGCTGGATCTTGTGTAACTAAAACAAAAGAAAAAAAACAAATAATTCAAATAACTCAAGAAATTATTATAAAAAACCATGCTTTGACTTCTAAGCAAAAGTTTTTAACATCAAATTTTATATTGTTGCGCGGCAAATCGGCGATTCGGTTGCTACTCTAATCCAATTTTCGCGTAACCTACGGCGGCTAAGTCGAAATAGGCGTGTTAGAT